AAAAAAAAAAAAAAAAGAAAAATGCAGCATTTGCCAAAAGGCCTCTAGGAGCCCATACAAATGGGTCACATCCATTTCCACTTCCAAAAAATGACCAGCATGGAGGAACCTAAGAGAAGAGAACAATCTTTGCCCAGGGATTGTGAACCACCAAACCCGGGGACCCTCACTCATGAAAGCATCTGAAGTCTTTAAAAGCAGTTAAATGAGTATTCCTGGCAGTATTTAGTCCCAGGTTGCATAAGAATCTCCTGGAGCTCAAGTCAGTGCTTTTCAGATTGTAGCCAAAAGAAAATGCACAGGAGGCTGAGGCAGGAGAATCACTTGAATACGGGAGGTGGAGGTTGCAGTGAGTGGAGACTGCCCCAATGCCCTCCAGCCTGAGTGACAGTGAAAGACTCCGTCTCAAAAAATAATACTAATAATAATTAAAAATGCAGTCAGCACAGATGCAGAGAACAGGCGCTTCTCATTACTCTTAAGGGCTGCTCAGAACAAATCCCCCCTCCATGATCAGCAAGTTGCTGTCTTTAACAGGCCTTGTTCTGAATGCAGTTATGTGAGAGGAAGCCTTGTGCTCCACCATCCTGTAGGAAACAGCCCTATTCAGGATGGCAGCCAGAACAGTGCCATGCATTGAACTTGAGAGGGGATTGGGTTAGTGCAGTAATAATTTAGTCAAATTTGTTTTGCCCAATGTCATAGAGTCCTATCACTCCAGTTTCTAGCAGAAATGAAAGTGCAGGCTTTATACCTCCAGCTGCTAGCAGATAGGCAACATCCATTATTACCACTGATAGAGTCAGCAGATACCAAATGGCATTAAATCTCAAAGCATTTTGCCATCTTCAGAGATTTAAATACTCCTAATTCTTAGAAGGGCCACAATGCTAACTATGCTTTGAACAGAAACACAGATTTCTGCCACAATTTATATCTCAAATGCAGAGTTCCCTATAGTTTAGACTAAAGGATTATAAATGACTTTCAAATATACATGGTGACATTCAGCTATGTGACAGACACAAACTAAGTTCCAATTGTGAAGTGAGAGTGACTATGACAATCTAAAAAGGAGTCAATCCAGAGACCTAAAAGTACCATTTTTAACAAAAAAAATTTCAATTACATTTGCACTTTACTTTTATAGATTCTGGGTCCATTTTTTTGAGAAACAAAACCCAGCAATTTTACCCTGTTTTTAAACTAAATCCAATCTTCATTCATGCTTTTAGAGGGTGGGAACTGCAGTTTATCTGTGGCAAAAACTACCTGTGTAGTCATGAAAAGGATGTAGGTATCATTTTTTTAAACCTAGAAGTAAAAAAAAAAATCTATAATGGGAGCAATAGGTTAAAAATTTTTTTTCAAACCAGTTTCTCCAAGCTGGGTGCAGTGGCTCTTACCTGTAATCCCAGCACTTTGGGAGGCCAAGATGGGTCAATCACCTGAGGCCAGAAGTTCGAGCCTAGCCTGGCCAACATGGCAAAACCCCATCTCTAACAAAATATAAAACATTAGCTGGGCATGGTGGCGCATGTCTGCAGTCCCAGCTACTCAGGAGGCTGAGGCACATGAATTGCTTGAACTGGGGAGATGGAGGCTGCAGTGAGCTGAAATTGTGCCACTGCACTCCACCCTTGGCGACAGAGCAAGATTGTCTTAAAAAAAAAAAAAAACCACAAGGCCAGGCGCGGCATGATGGCTCATGCCTGTAATCCCAGCACTTTGGGAGGCCGAGGCGGGTAGATCACGAGGTCGAGAGATCCAGACCATCTTGGCCAACATGGTGAAACCCCGTCTCTATGAAAAAGTTAGCCGGGTGTGGTGGCACGCACCTGTACTCGGGAAGCTGAGGTGGAAGAATTGCCTGAACCCAGAAGGTGGAGGTTGCAGTGAGCCGAGATTGTGCTACTGCACTCCAGCCTGGCGACAGAGCAAGATTCCATCTCAGGGGAAAAAAAAAAAAAAAAAAACACAAAAAACAAAACAAAACAACCAGTCTTTTCAATGGTTACAACTAACTTTTTATTTTTATTAATTTTTTTTTGAGAGACTCTTTGCTGTGTTGCCCAGGCTGGAATGCAGTGGCGCAATTTCAGCTCACTGCAACCTCTGCCTCTTTGGCTCAAGCGATTCTCCTGCCTCAGCCTCCTGAGTAGCTGAAACTACAGGTGAACATTACCATACCTGGCTAATTTTTTGTATTTTTAGTGGAGACAAGGTTTCACCATGTTGGCCAGACTGGTCTCGAACTCTTTGACCTCAGGTGATCAGCCAGCCCTAGCCCCCTAAAGCGCTGGGATTATAGGCATAAGCCACTGCACCCAGCCTAGCCTTTTAATTTGAATACCCTAAAGTTTTTATGATAATTAAAAAATACTATGTTTCTCTATTATTACACCTTAAAGAATCAGGGTAAAGAAAATTGAAAGATTAATTCTTCTCTTCTACTACACTTGGACAGGCCAAAAGGTTAAAGATTTCCTGAGACTTCCAAAAGTTACTGAAGTCTGTCCAACATTTTCCAGAAAACCAGCCCAAAAAAAGTGTTTTCTTTTGAAAGCTATAACAGAAAAAGAGCACTAAAATACTGAAAAGTGGGAAACTTGGGCTCTTAATTTCTGAGTGCCTATCAAGTGCCAAGATCCAGAGAATACTGGGGTTGTAGCTAATAATACAGTAGTATTCTACTTAATGCTTGTTTACATATAAGGAAAAAAGCAAGACACCTGAACCCTTACATATTCTTTCCAATTAAGCTGCCTGAATTGTTATTTAGGAATAGCTTCTTTAGGCTTCCAATGCAAACTGTGTGTTAAGGAAATGAGTTCACTGCTGCCTGTAGAAAGGAAACAGATCCTGAAAGAGGTAAACTCAGATTCCATTGCTTTCTTTTAGAAGTCATACAATGCAAAAAGCCTCAATGGCAGCCATTAACATATAGAAACAAAGGTTCAAAAGATGTCCAAGTGGCACTTTTTTGTTGGTTTTTTTTTTTGAGACGGAGTCTTGCTCTGTCGCCAGGCTGGAGTGCAGTGGCGCAATCTCAAGCTCACTATGACATCCGCCTCCTGGGTTCAGGTGATTCTTCCGCCTCAGCCTCCCGAGTAGCTGGGACCACAGGCGCGTGCCACCACGCCCGGCTAATTTTTGTATTTTTAGCAGAGATGGGGTTTCACCATGTGGGCCAGGATGGTCTGGATCTCTTGACCTCGTGATCTGCCCGCCTCCGCCTCCCAAAGTGCTGGGATTACAGGGGTAAGCCACCGTGCCTGGCCTGTTGGTTTGTTTCTGAGTCTGAGTCTTGTTCTGCTGCCCAGGCTGCAGTGCGGTGGCTGGTCTCAGCTCACTGCAACCTGTGCCTCCCTGGTTCAAGCGATTCTCCTGCCTCAGCCTCCTAAGTAGCTGGGATTACAGCGTGTGCCACCATACCCAGCTAATTTTTTCATTTTTAGTAGAGACAGGGTTTCACCATGTTGGTCAGGTTGGTCTCAAACTCCTGTTCTCAGGTGATCCGCCTGCTTCAGCCTCCCAAAGTGCTGGGATTACAGGGGTGAGCCACTGTGCCTGGGGTTAAGTGGCACCTTTAAGAGACCACCTTCATTAGTAGACAACTGAAAAGAACTTACATTGAAAAATGCGTCAAACTGGTATCCAGATTGTGTTTTCTGTAAAACTACAATTTACTATCCAATACTAAGTTTGCTCCTGTCATCTGGGAGAAAAAAACCCAGAGCTGGTTATAAAAATGTCTCTATCTATAACTTAGAGGAGAGTACTCTCTCCAGAGGAGCCAAGCTAAGAACATGAAAACCAAAAACAGGATTTTTCTTTTCCAATTCATTTTAGTGTCGGCACTTTCTTTTTCTTTTCTTTTTGTTTTTTTTGACAGTCTCACTCTGTCGCCCACTCTGGAGTGCAATGGTATGATCTCAGCTTACTGCAACCTCCGCCTTACAGGTTCAAACAATTCTCCTGCCTCAGCCTCCCAAGTAACTGGGATTACAGACACCCACCACCAAACCCACCTAATTTTTTGTATATATATATATTTTTTTTAGTAGAGACGAGGTTTTGCCATGTTGGCCAGGCTGGTCTTGAACTCCTGACCTCAGGTGATCCACCAGCCTCAACCTCCCAAAGTGCTGGGATTACAGGCATGAGCCACCACCCCTGGCCAGTGTCTGCACTTTCTAAGGAAGTGAAGTTTTAAAAAATCTTATGGATCCATTGCATTATTCAGATACTCTCTTCCAAAAGTAATTACACCTGCCTTATTAAAACACATATTTGGGCCGGGCACAGTGGCTCACACCTGTAATCCCAGCACTTTGGGAGGCCGAGGTGGGTGGATCACGAGGTCAGGAGTTTGAGACCAGCCCAGCCCAACATGGTGAAACCCCATGTCTACTAAAGATACAAAAAAAATTAGCCAAGTGTGGTGGCACATGCCTGTAATCGCAGCTGCTCAGATGACAGAGCAAGGCTCTGTCTCAAAACAAAACAAAACATCACAACAACACACATTTATCCTAAGCCAACTACCCCCAATTAACTGATTTTTTTTATACATCTTTTTGCCCTTTTTCTTTTATCCTGTTTATATATATATATGTATTTCAAACGGAGTCTCGCTCTGGAGTACAGTGGTGCAATCTCAGCTCACTGTAGCCTCCACCTCCCAGGTTCAAGCCATTCTCCTGTCTCCGCTTCCTGAGTAGCTGGGATTACAGTCACACACCACCATACCCAGC